ATCTTTGCTTTTGTGTGTTGTAGATGGAGGACCTGAACCTTCCAGAAATCAAACGCAGGAAGATTCAGGAGAAGAAAGAAGAGGACAAGAAGGAGTTCAAGGACCTGTTTGACTCTGACAGTGACTCTGAGAGAGACTCTGGATTCAAAATCAAAGGTGAGCCTCTGTCCTGCTTTGGTCATCAGTCTGTTCTGAACCATTTAATAATCTGCAATACTTACTATGACCTCCAGAGGGCTGTGTTCTAACTTCCTTTCAGGTTTAGCATTTGGTGGTCCCTTTGTTTACTTAGTTTATCTGTGTTATAGGCACCTGAACAGTGGCAGGTATTATAAACACACATTTAATACTTCACCGACGCTCAATAAGGTAAAGAGGTGTCTGTCCATAATCAAGAGTTTTTGATTTGGGCTCGCTGGCCTCCTCAGAGGTCATCCACAGGTCACACTCAGCTGCCGTTGAGCTGTGACAGCTTTACACTCAAGTGCTGTGCACAGACACATGGAGGCAGCCGGGGATTTTAATCCATCTGCGCTGTACTGAAGGGAGAGTCCCCATGAGCGCATGGGCAGCTGCAGCAAGTGTGCTCACACACCCCACACACCCCACACAGGAAGTACAGGCTTGGATCCCAGCGGGAAAGCCTAATTCAAACCAGCCCAGTGGAACAGCCAGAGGTGGCCGCTCCCACTCCCCTCTCCCTCCTTTCACATTTTTGTCAGATGCTATTTTTTTATGCCACAAAATTTCAGCAGTGAACAATGTCATTTCTACTATTGTTCAATCAGAGCACCAGTAGCTGATGTGAAATAAAGCTCTGTAATCCTTTTAAAGGGTTTTGACAAAAACTTTTAACACAAATTTTACTCCTAAATGTTGTAGCCTAGTGCAGAGCATGTCTCTTTTTTATAATGTAGCTACTGTATGTCTTCAAAATTGAATTAAATACTTTTAAGTTCAGGTATCCTTGAAATATTGCTAAATCAGCTATTTGAACCCAAAACTTTGCACGTGTTAGTTGAATGTTTGAAATTTTGCACAATGGGTACCAAAATACCCCTTGAACTGAATTCCCTGGTATCCTTATCATAAAACACACGGTCTTGTGATCCATATTTGTAAATGTATGCTCATCAAACTATTTTTTTCATTAGGTGCTTAGGTCTCCTCCTACTTATTTCTCATTAATCTCCTCTTTCTATCATTCACATTGGACTACAGCAGCTGCCCCCGCATGTCCTTAAAACACGTGCTTTCACAGAGCAGCGCCGGCAAACGCCCACCTCCCCGACGTCCAGTCTCCACAAGCCAGAATCTTTTCAGGCAGCTCACCAAAGCCCTTTGTGGTTGCGCTCTGAGTCCCGGAAAGAGGAGGAGTGAGAGAGGAGGGGGCCAGTGCCGATTTAGACTGATGCGTGCGCGCGCGCGTGCGTTTGTATTCGTGTGGAGGGGCAAGTCTGGAGGTCATCTGGGGGCAACTGCAGAGGCAACAGGTCTAAGAGGAACAGGAACAGAAGAAAGTGACAGAGATATGCGCATGATAGAGATTTAAAGGGAAGCCATAGGACCATACTGGGTTACACTAAGCAGCATGTGTTTGTTTATACCAGTGTCAGTGTTTGAGGGAGCTACCCCACCCACTTATTTATATAAAAAAAATTAAATATAAAAATTGTTGTTTTGGACATAGACTAGATATTATAGTGCTGCATATCCTCTAAAAGTAAAAAAAATAAATAATTTTTTAACATTTTAACATTATTTGTAATCTTTCATATATTTATAATTTATTTATAATCTTTCAGATATAAAATCATAATTCTGTCCTTAAATGGTAAATTTGACAGTGTATTTATTTTTTGTATTATTTTAGCAATTTACACTTAAATTGTTTTTGTCAGTACCCTCCATATGTGCTAATTGGTCAGGTTTACATACCATGCGAGGTCTCCTCCACTTCAAAGCCATTGGACCCGGTTGTTCTGTTTAGGTAAAGCACACAGCATCACATATTTAGACTTCCTTACTCTCATCACTGCTGCTATAGAACCTGCCCGCTATCACATTTTCTATATTTAGGCCATGAGCGTAAGATGTCTAAAACTGCCGCTAGTAAACTGTCATGGGTGTTTGGTTGGTAATCGACTCTCCGTTCCATCTCGGAGGAAATAGACACCTCCAGCTGCTTGTGATGTTTGCCCCACATACAGGTGTCTCCCAAGTCCTTTAGACGTCAGCCGTGCCGAGCAGAGGAATATCCCAATAAAGTAACACACCATCTGAAAGCACAAGTCCTGATATTTTGTTTTGCTTCTCCCTCCAGGTAAGAAGAGCGGCGGCTCAGATGATGACGATGGCGATGATGAAGAACTTGAAGACTTGTCAGATATGAGTGACGATGAGGGACTGGAGGATGACTCAGGTTTGTTTAATAGATGATAAAAAAATGTCTTTGTCCTATTTAAGGGGGACATTACCAATAGGTGTACTTTTATTGGCAATGCAAGGACCGGGTATCATTAAAAGATGCTAATACAATACAAAAGAAAAAAATAAAAACTTTTGATAACAAGATTTTATGTGTGATGGGTCCTGGGGGAGTACAAGAGCTTATATCTAGGTACTGAGAGATGGACCTCAGTTGTCATGTAAAAGTGTTTAATGGAATGTATTAACATTAGTCTTATTTCATTTAATAATTAAAATAGAAATGAGTACTGAAAAACCTAAACCAGGAATCATTTGAATAAACCAAATCTAAAGGTACATGTTCATAACGATGTTCATAAACTTTTTAGTATCACCTTATATGAGAAACCGTTATTCCTAAAATACATTTTGCATATTACTAGATTATAAATTCTATCCTATCTAGTTCCTGTTTGTGTATTGCTGGTGGTATGTGGAGCTCTGAAGTGTTTGTTCCTTTGCTTGTTTTGCAGGTGCTGAAGATGATGAAGAGGAGGAGGAGGATGAGCAGGCCTCGGGCGCTCCTCAGCCTCTGTCTTCAGATGCTCTGATAAAACTGGCCGAGGGAGGAGAGGATGTGGTGGAGGACCTGGAGCTGTCTGATGATGACTGAGTTCAGGCAGCACACAGTGAGCTCACCTGAGACACTCTTCTTCTATCCATACTACAAACTATTTTTGGACTTCCTCTGCTCCTGTTTTATATTGTCTCATGTACAGTGCAAACTTGTATGTGATGTAATTTTATTAACATCGAAACTACATAAACAATTCCAAAAAGATTTACAGAAGTGTTGCTTTTCTCAGCTGCTAATGAGCTAAACTACCGGAGCATGTCTTTCTCACAAAAAACAAGCCATTTCTGGTGAGGTGCACACCTGTAGGAGCCCCCAGGCCTTCAGAGCAGGGGCTATTTGGAGCAGGATGACTGTGATGGGCCAAGCCAGACTGGACGGGCCAAGAGGAGGGGTGGGGAGGGGGTCGCTGGGGGGTGCAAGGGGGGTGAGGAGGCCTGAGGGTGCAGCGCGGTGCCAGGCTGCCAGGGTCCCGTCTGATGCCGTGCCAAGTGTCTCTGCCCAGGTGGTGGAGCCGCACACAGACTGGTCTGTCTGTGTGCCAGCCCCGCCCCCCACACGCCCAGGCTCCTCTGTCTGTAGGCACGGCTCTGAACAAGCCAACTGAATATTTAAGCTCATTTTAATACAAATGAAAAAAATGCATGGATCTATTTATTAAACAAATCACAGAGCCATGGTGTAGTCCTATTCAAATTTTGTACTGTGACTTCAATGTACAATTCCACTTAATACATAGAACTGGGATTTCATTCCCATTTGAGTCTCGAGATATTGATTCTACAGATAAATTTTCATGTTTATTTATTTATTTATTTATTTATTATTTATAATATAAAGCAGCCTGGGTATTATGACAATATGACCCAATCAGGATTGGAGCCCTGTGATGGTTTTGCAGAAATGCTTTCCATGTTCTTGTTTAATGTGGCTCTATGCGCAGACATTAATACTTTTGCTACCCCCTCTTCCTATTGGTCAGCCTCTGCTATGCTCTGGCTTAATGACAGGTGCATTTAACCAATGACTCTAATAAGAATACAGTTAAAGTTCCTTCTAAACAAAAAAATGTGATCTTGATTTGAACACTGATATAACTTGTTTTTAGCAGCTGTACCTTATATCTTGAAAGGGCTCTTATTACACTCTTCTCTGATCTGTTATGCCATTTCCTTGTCAGTGTTTATGTATGTTTATACCTTGATTTTGTTTTGTTTCATTCACACACACAAACCCTGCATATTAGACTGTGGTCTTCTCTCAAACCGAAAACACTCAGTTCCTCCTTGTGATGCCATGTACATACAGGACGTGCTCCACCACATGCTCCTTCAGTAAAATCATTAGGATACTTTCACCTCCAGAACTGCCAATCTCTACTGAACAAAAGGTAAAAGTTATGTAATGTAATGTTAACTTGAACACTACCACTATATGACATCACAAGTTGGAACAGTGTCTTTCATTAATAATGAAGGGATACTCAAATGTGTGAATGAAACAAAACATAATGAGCTAACAGCATTCTAACATAGCTTAAAGCGCACAAGAGTCAACTCAGCTTAATATAAGACCTCTAAGTTTAGGTGACTTACTTTCCTCATTTGTTGATGTATATACAATGTAGACAAAACATCAGTGAGTGCATTACTTTGGCATATTTTGTAAAAGACTTAAGTGCATCACATTGGGTGAACACATGGCCTACCTAAAGCAAAGGGAGGTCCCAGTGGAGAAAGAGCAGAACTTCAATATTTGAAGGAGAAAAGTGCATGGCGTGAGGGGGGTCAGACAGTAAGGAGGGTCAGGTTATCCCCCAGGCTCCGAGGCCCTGGCCCGGGGCTGCACCTCACACTGCGACAGCTGCTGTTGACCTAAAGTGTGGCTCATGGTCACCTCCGCACAGACACGCTGAGTTACCTGGAGAAAAGAGTCTTTATAAACAGACCAAGTGCAGCACTGTTTGTTTAGGATTTATTTGCCTGTGTGGTGAATAGAAAAATAGGATGAAGACAAACATTTTGAAGGGAAATCTAGAGATCTTTTTTAATTCATTGCTTTAAAAAAATCATAACAAATTCAACATGTTTGCATTAAGAGCTCTGTGCCTTTCTTTTCCCTGTAACCAAGAGAAAACAAAGTAAAATTATCTTTGGGATCCATCTCAAGGGCTAATTATAATACATATCATATTCTGCTTTATCTACCACATCAAAAATCCTATAAATATCTGTCCTCATATTTATATGCCGAAGGAGCATTCAAGATTGGAGCATCTCTTAATATTACCTTTTTAAAAAGTGGCAAAACAAAAAAGTCAAAGTACCACATAAATTCAGCAAGTCACATTTTTCAGTAAAGAAAAACTTTTTCGTGCAACTACAAATAACAAAAGTCAAAGTACCACGCATGTAACCTTCAGAGTTTTTCATCATGATTCTGTACAGTTTGCATCTTAGTCCTTCACCAACAGTAGTCAGCACATGTACAGACACTTTCAAGGCTTTAATACCTCAACTTCAGTGCCACAGAGTGCATCATGTTCACGGGGTTCAAATAGTCTTTTCTTAATGCAAAATGAGGCAGACACCATGTGAAATGTGTTCAACTCCACACATCCGGTCATCTTTGGTATCGGGACAGTGGAATGCATAGTTAGCAGTGCTAAGCCAGAGCTGGTCAGATCGTGTGCTGTTGGCCGTATGCTTGGACTCCAGCCTTTGAAGAGACGACCCCTTGCTGCTGTTTGGCTCCAAGAGAAAGGCGAGAGGAGGGAGCAGTGCTCGTGCTCGCAGCAGTCACAGAGACACAAGCAGAAGGGAACGCAGAGCTTCCTCCAGCCCAGGAAGGAAGGACCCGGCTCCGCCTGTGTCTGACTCGCAAGAATGTCGCATGTGTGCCGCTTGCTCCGGATTTTTGGCAGGCTGTCTGTGACCAGCTGTCTCCCTTTCCTTTTCTCTATTCCTCTGTCACTTTGCGCGTCTCCGCTCCAAACTCTATTTCTTTGGATTCTGCCACAATGCAGACAAACGGAAAAAACACCACATCCTCCTCCCTTTTAATCCAGTCCAATACTTTTCCATGAAATCAGTTTTAAAGGTCCCAAGGCAATGGGAGAGGTCAGGACAAAGTCTGGTTAAAGTAGCAAATATGAGCAGCCTTGATTCATTTCTATTTCTGTGTCCTACGAAGGCGTTTTTGCCTCAAACCGTGTCGCCATACTTGAGCTTGTACCATTCTGTTTTTTGGGGGAGGAGCACCCAGGGGTGGGCCCACTATAAGGAGAGGAGCTGCTGCTTGTTGAGGTGGGTTTGTTCGTTTGTGATGCATTTGGGGGCAGAGAGGAGTCAGGTGTGCTCAGATCTCGCTCTGGAGGTCGCAGGATGGCCGGTGGGAAAGGGAATGCAAAGGGGAAACCAGTCATGTAGAAAAGTCTGCCAAAGCGCCGAGCTACCTGTGGAACAAACAAACAAAGCATTATAAGCACGCGTTTCTGACTTATGAAAAATGATCGTGCCAATGTAACAAAAAGAAAAAGACAGGGTTTCTATGGGGCAGGCTACTTTGTCATGAATCTGAGCTACACTACTGAGCTGTCCTACTGCCTCTCTCGCTCTCCTCAGTCCCATTCACTCTGGAGCCTGGCAGGCGAGCTGTACCTGAAAGCGGATCTTGAGCGCCGGGCCCAGCTTTAGTCCCATGGAGTGTAGCAGGTGCTCCTCGGTGAGCAGAGGTAAAGTCTCTCCATCAATGGCCTGCTCCCGAAACACCTGGCAGAGACACAGCTGCTTCAGCCACAGCAGCCAGAGCACAGGCACCCACATCCACACAGCACCACGCTGCCTACACTCTTATCTCCGGATATGTGACATACCCTATTCACTTCTGCATAGTCTTCTTCACTTGTGAACTTGAAATGGTTGAATTTGATGTCAGAATAGTTATCCACCTGTGTGGCCATGTTGAGGGATCATTAGTAATCTAAACATAATCGCATCAGCCTGTCGCAGTGAGATTTCTGTTTTCTTAGGTTTTCTCAACATGTTTGGATAGTTGCTCCTCTCCTGCTGCATTTGTTTGATATGATAAGGTTCTTCTGAAGGTCTGAACTAAAAGTAAAAATGATAAATATATTTTTGAAAGACAGGCAGTGTACAATGTTTTGAGTAAAACTTGAACAGGAGAAATGCTCTTTTGCTCTTGTTATTTCCTGTCTTCGCCCCATGTTATGCTTTATACAGTGTTCATGAAATAATGTCCAGCTTATTTATTCATGGTAATTCTTCTTTTATAACATAAAATGTAACGATGTAAACATGTTGAAATGAACAAAAAATGAACAAAACAATTAACAGCACAGCTATTAGCAACCACATAGTTGCTTTGTAATTGTGCTAAGATTAGAATGAGTCCAGTAAATGCCGCATCCTGGAGAGAGCAGTGTGACGTAGAGCATTTCAGTTCAGCCTCAGAAACAAAACCAACAATAGATATGTTTTTGAGGTGCTTTATAATAAGGATAAATCTCTATTTAACATAGGGCTCTGTTCATTTGAGCTGTTTGTGTATTACAAAAAGGAAGACCAAAGAAAGTAGGAGTGAGTTACTTATAAGCGCCAAATCTTCTGATTTCAGACCCGCTGAAGCCTTGCTCACAGACACATGCAGAAAGCACAACTTAAATGCATTTACTACAATCTGAATCTCTACATTGCTTCTTAACACTGACAATGTTTTTGGTTTTGGGTTGAGTTAGCCTGCCCCTGGGTCCCCCTCTCCGGCCTGTGCCCTGTCTCACCTGTGTGTACTCTGCACATCCGGCCAAGCTGCTTATGAAGCCACACACGTCTTCCACACTCCACTTGCTGATGTCCTCCGCTGGGTTTGTTGTGGAGGAGTCCTCCCCATCCGTGAAAAGACCTCCCATCGCACCTACAGGAGCAGCACTGGGTCAAACCATGTGTCAATATAAAAAGTTGAATTTAAGTTTTAATTTACCCATGCCTTTATATTGCCTTTCCAGCATATTACATTTTGCTATGAAGACGTCATTTACCAGCCATCTTTCGGCATATTGCTTGGCATTGCTGTTTTCAGCTAACCTAATATTTAGTTTTATTAGTCAGCCTAATAATATAGTTACTGTCTACACATCAGAACATTAGACCTTTGTCAAGAATATTCAAACCAAATGAATACATTATATATTACACCTATGGATAAAATCAAGAATTTCCAATAAATTTAAAATGATTGAATGTTTAAATGGAAGTGGATACAGTGCCCGCGTGTCTTGGGGTCACGCAGGGGTCACATGTGGCCCCTCATAGAGAGGAGCACACAGAGATGCTAATGGCTTTCACATGGTGCTGCAGTGTTTGCGTTTAGATGGTCCCAGTGTAGGGCTCACCCGAGTGAAAGTAGGGGTTGGCGTAGGGAAAGCCAAATGGGAAGCTCTGTCCATGGAGCGTGGGCAGTGGGGGCATGAAGCCTGTTGGAAGGTGAAACTTGACGTCTTTGGCCTGCCCCACAGAGAAGAGGCGGCTGGGTGAGTCTGTCTCTGATGAATTGCAGGGGGCGCTGTTTTGACCCGAGCTTTCAGTGCTCTCTTTAGCCCTGACACAAAGTCCCTTATTGGCCTCTTTACCCTCCCGCCTCTCCCCGACCTGGAGCTTACTACTGGATTTGGCCTCTGCTCCTTCCGGTTTGTCCTCACATGTGTCTGCCTCACTGTCAGAGTCCTCTTCTCGGTGGTCCCTTGGCCCTGGTGGACCCCCCGAGCCTCCACTGGGGCATTTGCGGGAGTCAGAGCCAGAAGCTGAGTTGTGTTTATGGAGGTCTTTGGGTGTGGGAGTCCCTGACTGTGGCTGCTGGTTTAAAGAGAGGAGAGGAGGCGTGGCCCCATGACGCAGCACCAGCATGGCATTGGTGCGACGGGCGAGTTCCTCCCTCAGCGGGTGCCCCTCAGGCAGGTCCTGGATGTTACGGAGCGCGGGGTGGTCAGCGGGCAGTGCTCCTGAAAGAGCCCCCACAGGGTCAGAGCCCAAGAGGCGCTGCTGTCGTAGGTTCTCCAGTTCCTTCTGCCTCAGCAGCTCTGCAGACATCTCCAGTCTGTTAACACAGGCACCAAAAGAGGTAAATGTTTAGGATACAAATAAACACAAGGTTTGCTATTGCACCGTATTGATATGTTCTGTAGACACAGGCTTTCTTTTGTTGTTGTTTTTAGTAACTTGTGTGGTATATGTTTTCACAGCCAAAAAAACATATAGAACATCATAATAACACGCACCTGGCCAGGTTCTGTTTCCTTAGCATCTCTTGTTGACGGGCAAATATCTCAGCTTGAGCAGGTGGAAGGAACCCATAACCTATGGTTGACAAAATATATATTTTTAATTGGGTCAGAAGTTGCTGAACCTTAAGTACAAGCTTTAACATATATATAAAGGAATCAGTAGCCTCTTCCATCTTTGCACATACGCACTCATTACGTTCTGAACATACAGCGTATCGACAGAGGCTTGTGAGCCTTTGAGAGGCTGCAGTTTTTCATCCAATCAGTTGCCTCAGTGGGTGACTTCACTGATGAAGCCTTTGACTCGACTTGAGGCAGAGCTAATCAGAAGGTGATGTCTGGTTTCAAGACCACTGCCGCTATATGACTCAACTGCCTTTTATCGTTCACTGATGACATTAACTCACCTGGTGCCTGGCACAGAGCAGTGGGCATGCCCAGAAAAGGAGGCCGCAGGTGAGGTCCTAACGTGATGTGGGGGGCTGTGGGGGGAGACAGCAGAGGCGGAGGCTGAGAGAGATCCCTGCGGACACAAAATGTAGTAGCTGTAGTAGGTTGTTTGTGTTTTAACAAATACTTTAATGAGTCATTAATATTGATACAGAGTGGCAGAGGTGTAATTGTTGCAGTAAAGGAATAAGTAAGGAGCTGTGCTTCTCTTCTGCGGGGGCACAGTGTATGTGGAGTATTTTTATCAGAGCAGCTCAGAGGCCTCCATGTCGCCCCAGCGCCTCATCAGTCTTGTCACGCCGCAGCAAGCGCCGCTGGCCATAGCTGTACCCTGGACGCAGCCTCCCTCCCCTGCCACCACACACACACACAAACACAGAAAAAAACACACACACAGTGGAGCCACACACATAATGAGGGCTGAATGCACAATGCCAGTGTGTCATGCTCTGACAGCTGGGGCGGCCCCTGCGTCTTGACCGGGCCATGGGCTGAAGGACCTCCTAATTAACACTCATCCCTCCGCTCTGCTCCCTTTTTACGCCCTTCTTCCCTCCCTCGCTCCCTTGCGGTCTCTGGGCCGCTGAAAAGGATGGAGCGTCCTGCAACCTCCACTTCTGAAAAGGCCTCTTCTCCATTATTGGCTTCATCTTTTGTCCTCCTTCAGGGGGAACGGCGCCTCTCACCTCTCTGAGCTGCTCTCTGTCTCCGCTCTGTCTACACCATCTTTTCGCTGTTTGTCTCGGCAGCAGCTACACGACCTCTAAAATTTTTCTCCTTTTTTCATCAATTTTCTTTTTTACCCTTCTATTTCTTGCTGTAAGTTTTCATGAGCTCTTCATCTGTCTCCTTACATACTGTCAGAATTTTCTGTAAATGATATCCTCATTCAATAACATCCTTGGTGGATGTTTACATTTAAGATACAGTACATTTTGGACATGTTTTTGCATCTAGTTGATAAAAAGCTGACACCTGCATCTACACTTGTTGCTGCTATTTTGACCAGGTGATGTTTCAGCATTCAGAGTGGGTGGTCTATCACTAGGAGTTCAAAATAACACCAAACTTAAGTTAAGCTGACTAGACTCAACAGAATGGATAGGTACTCTCCCTCTCACTTTTATCAGTACAACTGCACATACTCTGGTTAGAGGCATTCTTAGGGACCTTCACGGGTCTTTTCTGTTTCTCCAGAGTCTGTGCTCTGGAGCTGCTGCTATCACACCAATCAGGGCTCAGCTGTGTGTGACGGCCGCCTCACAAAGCTTACATGAGAAACAAGCTGAGGAAAACAACAAAATCAGACCCAACATGGGGGACGCATGCAACCGCAAATATTGTTTTGCAACCGTGTTCAAATTACCTAGCGCCTGCATGTCTCCCGCCTCACTAAATGGTGAGGGAGCAGAGGGAAAGGCAGAGTGAGTGTGGAGATGAGATATAGAGGGGGTGGAGGAGGAAGTGGTGGGGGCCATTCATCGATCGCCTCCGCCGCTGAAATGTTAATGCTAATCGTATAACCGCTCTCTCCGGCGGTGCCTCGCACTCCAGTGGCAGCTCCAATTAATCTTGGGTGAGGGCTGCGGCGCGTGACCCCGAAGCCGTGAGCTGGGGCCTTGCTAGCCGCTGCTTATGTAATTACACCGCCCAGTGTGTAATCACCTGGCCTAATCCCTGGAGGCTAGCAATTAGCCCTGCGACGCACAGTTCCACTAGGCTACGCCAAGGCACCCGCCAAAGAAAAAAAAAAAAAACATACACACTTTAGCCCCCCCATGACTCCAGCAAGCCAGTGTCCCATCAGCCCCCACCCCTTTCATTCTGATTCCCTCTTTGCTTTCTTCTCCACTCAGCACCGCCTACCCTCGGCGAGCGTTCGCCCGCAGATGAATAACGGTCAATTAAAGCTGCATGACTGGGGCTGCCAGGCGTCTGCGCCACCATAATTAGGCCTAATCACGGGGAGCGAGAGAGACGCAGGCAGAGAGACAGTCCCTTCCGCTATCTCTCCTGTCTTTCTTCTTTTATAGGAGGCAATTTTGAGGGAGGAGTGTCAGACATGTCGTTTTGCTCTGGGCTGTGTGTTTGCGTGTACGGCTGCCTGTCTGTCTGTCTCCATGTGTCTCTGTGTCTTCATGTGTCAGTGCGGCCTATCTGTGCGTTTTGTTCACAAACCACTAACAGGCTATAAAAAGAGGCGCACAAACACCTCACATAGCCTACTTTCTGCATGTGGACTGAAGACTCAGATAGAGGTGGGCTCATAATCAAACTATTTGGCTGGATGCTGTGTCTCCTGCCTGCAGTGAGACCAGGGGCTCCTGGGGAATTCAGTGGAGTGTGACGACCTGTCAGAGTGCGACAGGCCCGTCCCGCTGCAGCCGGGGCGCGGAGAGCGCGCTGTGACAGGGCTGCCCTTAATGACGGAGCGTGGGGGGATTAGGAGCGCCGCGCGGACGCCCTCGGCTCCTTCTCCGCAGGAACACATTTACACAGGAAGCTCATTAAAATGGATGAGGCTCCCTCGTGCTCTCCCGCCCCGTATCTCGCACAGCGCCCGCCGCCTCCTATCGCACGCTCTCCTCCTCGCTTCATCTCTCACTTGTTCCTTCCTTTCCTCTGTATCTTTTCCTTTATTTTATCCTGTTTTCCACAGCTTCTGTCTTTCTCCTATTTGCCTTGCAGATGCTCATGAGCTTAATGCCATTTAAGGCCAGACAAATGGAGCGCCAGGCTCTAAGCCCATCGAGCGGCCCTAATGATTTGTTTTTAACAATGGGTCCTAATGGGCCCCAGATAATCAATGATGAGGGGTCGATGGAAAGGTGAGCCACAGTTAGAGCGAGGGAGCGGCGTCTCTAACTCACTTCCTCAACCTCAGATCAGCGTCCCTGAGAATTTTTAAAATTATACTACTTCTTTTTCATTTTTTTCAGTTTGTGCCGCCGTAGTTTTGAATGTACCTCCGGTAACTATGTACTTGAACTGTTTTCTGTAAAATGTTCTATATTTTGTTTAGATGAGTTAGGTTTGGTACAATGAGTTGCATCACACTTTACCCCAAATTCCTATAAATAATAACTTTTATACAGCACATAAATCTACATTTGCTTGACTGATTATCAGTAATAGTTGTTTTAGAAACTTAATTCATTATTTGGTCAACAAAAGCTGCAGTCATGCATATGAATCTTATTCAACTAATCAAAGTTAGAAATATAAGAAAACATTTTTGATAGTTCTCTTTATACAGAGAAATACCCATTTGAATAATTAAAAACAAGTCAGCATTGTAGCACCCATTAGCAAAGATAGCAAGTAGAAAGCAAAGTTGGTAAAGACAATTGCCAGATAGAAGTTTAATTATTTTGGCCATAAACTGTGAGTCCCTGTTGTGATGCTGTAGATCCTACAAATATAGGATTGTTTTTCTAAAAATCTGAATGATTTGAAGAGCATATACTTCTATTAACCATTTAATTTGACTGCAAAGGTCCAGTGAATGTGCAAGGGTTAAAGTGCACCTGGAGTGTGCTGGGGAGGGGGAGGGAGGGGGCTGAGGCCTAGTTAACTCTCCCCTGCTCCAATGTGGCTAATTACTCTGCTGTCGGAGAGCAGTCTGACTGCACCTAACACTGGACACACACGAATTAGCGGACATATTCACACAAACAGACCCAATTTCTGTGCACACAGATGAGCACGCACAGCTCGAGAAATGGAGCAAACAAACAGGCGAATCTGTGCTTCCCGCCTCAGCACACAGCCCCCCATCACCACAGTGCCTGCCCGGCCACTGCGCTTCCTGCCCCCCACCCCCTCCTCCCCTGCCTCCGCACGCACAAACACACACACACACACGTACCCACACACCCTCCCGCTGCTGCACCGCCGGCCTATTATCGATCCCCCGCCTCTCCCCGCGCCACATAAATAATCGACAAGCAATTACCCGCCCACTCCCGCTGCCCCCGGCTTTGTTTGGGAGGCGCAGGGGCCGTGGCTGGGGGGAGGGCGGGGAGGAAGAGCCAGGGATGCAGGCGTGCGGCTCCACAGCGGTAGCCAAGAGGTTATTGGATCCTTAGTTTAGCCATGTTCGTACACACGGTCTTACACAGACGTGCACTGAAGCACAATGAGCCAGAAATGAAATTGGATCAAGCAAAGAAAGTAGTAGGGAACTGCTGATAGAAACAGTCAGGAAATAAACACAATTTTAAAGGAGAAGGAGGACGTATTTTGAAATCTGGGTTGGTTATAAAGCATGTCATTTTAACTCTAGCCACCTTATATGTTCATATTGAGGGGCTCTCCTGGAGAAAATAACATTAAAGGGCCCATATTATGCTATTTTCTGTGTTTTCTATGTTAAAATATTGTGTCCTCATGATAAACGTATCCAGATTGTGTTTTGTTTCAATCACACGTTTACCACACAAATCCTGCACAATTAGGCTTCTCTTCGACAGAAAACGCCTTGTGATGTGATGTGGTAACACAGTGGTAATCATGTCATGTGGTAATACCAGAAGTACTCCACTGTATTTTTAAATACACCATACACCTTCACTAAAATTATCCGGATGAATTCAGCCATGGAGTTGGCAACCTCTACTGAACTAAAGCTTTGGAGATAAAGACAGACTAATAATAAAGAGTTATTCAAATATAAATGAAAACAACATACCTGGAGTAAATTTAGCGTTATATGGGACTTTTAAAATATAAGTTCAGATGACTTCTTTTATCCTATTATCTTTAATATTCACAGTTTCAGCTTACTTCTTCCGATATAAGTCATGTATATGGAAATTGACACTTGAATACCTCTGATGTGTACTGAAAGTTCAATATTGATCACTATATTATCCAATTCCAGTAAATGCAGAGACATTTACATTGAAGTTAATAATTTATCTTCTCAAACTTGGCTTTTTAGCAGATAAGGATGACTATGGATGTAGAGGAGACTGCTGACTGTGTTACCTGTCTGTATAGTGTGCGTCCCGGTGCTGAGGCAGGCCCTGTTTGCGTCTCTGGCTGGATGAGGATGAACTTCCAGAAGGCAGATGAGCTTCAAGTGCTGGAGTCCTCACAGCAGCCACCAGCGCCTCCTGACGAGCTCTGAGCAAATCTGAGCAGGAACAGGGCAAGATAAAAAAAAAATATATATATATATATATATATATGGTTGTATTTTGAGCTAAAATAGAAGTAATAAACAATCCAAAATCAGCCATTAAACCACTTACTATTATGCTTGTTCTTCTAATCCCTTAAACACACTATAGCAGACATACAAAATTACGGTGACCGTCGACTACTGAAATCTTGTCACATAAAGGGCCTGTTCCCAGTTTCTTCCCCAAGCATTTGAGCAAAATTTGTCTTCCCCTATTAAAGATATATTGTATAAGCAGCTCTTGAGGTCAAAATAGGTCAGCTCCATGCTCTTTGCAATCAGAAAGCATTTTATTTATAATCAAGAAATACACATAGCATGTACTAGTTAGCTTTACAGCAAATATCCACTCTAGCGTGTGAGATTTGTGAAAAGAGCTTATAAGCTCATCGCTGTGAATAATTAGAATGGTCAGAATGTATAAGATAAGTGAGGAATGACTTAAAAATGAACTAGTTCAGACTTTCAGGTTTTTCAGTAAAAATCTGGTTCAGAATCTTCAACTGTTGCATAGCTGAATTATATAGTGTTTGTTTTGAACTTATTTTGACCACCATTGTTTTAAAAAAAAACTGTGCCTATGTATGTGCTCCCTTGGTCCAGGGGATTTCATAGCCCTCTCACCTTGAACTGCCGCTGCTCTATCTCTTACCCCTCCTCCCCCTTCTTCCACCATTTCTCCCAGCATGCCCTGCTCCCTCCTGCCCTCTCCGGAGAAGAGGCCTCATCATTATCAGCGCCGGCCCGGCCACACCAGGAGACACGGCTTCTAATGAGAGAAAAATCCATCCCTCCCTCTCTCTCCCTTTCTCTCTCTCTCCTCTCACTCACTACCTCAATCTATCTCTGCGCTCCACTCCGCCGCCCCCACTTTTTTAATTAGACAGATCCCTCGGGAGCTAGGGGCCATTTCCGCTGCCGGTACGGGGTGTGATGTGCGCCTGTGTGTGTGTGATTTAGGTGCGTGTGTGTGAGGCAGGGAGGGGGGAATGGAGGGGGGAGGGGGGCTGGGATAGGAGGGGTGGAGAGGCGACAGATATTAATGCGGCCGAGCTCCGGTGTATCGATCTGTTTGCTGCGCCGTGCCGCGGGGGACTGGGCTGGCGGCAGACGAGGGTGTGTGTGAGGTAGAGGGGGGTGGAGAAAGAGATAAGGCCCACATCAGAGGGAATCGGACACACACACGCGGGTGGGTGCAGCGCAGGGGTGGCAGGTTGACCTCTGCGAGTTTCCTGTGGTCACGATCCCACCTTGCCAATTATTTTGAGCGGCTGGCGCGGTTAAAGGGGCACTCCGGCAATTTTCTATGGCACTTCCATTAACACTGATAGCAAAATTCATACAAAAGAAGTAACTTTACTTCCTACTACTTTTTGGCTTTAGTAATAGTATTATGTAGGAGTAGTGGAAGTAGTGGAAGTAACAGCAACTCAAATACCAGTAATACTACTTATTATGAGGAGATTCATAAAACATAGAAGTATTCAATATAATAACTTTCACCTTGCTTTTAACAGGTGCAGGAACCAGTAGCTGCAGCGTCCCACACTGGCTGGAGGTGCAACATCTCTAACTGGAGTTGTTAAGAACTTCTCAGCAATTGTACTTATTGTTTCCTTAGATTTTAGTTGATCTCCCTTTACTTTGTTCATTCTCAAAGGAGTGACCTGTCCATCACATATTGTGGATTTCTGTCGGATCAATGAATGAAGCAGTAAATGCATTAATCTGAGTTGGAAGTTTGATATATATTTATATATATATATATATATATATATATAATATATATATATATATATATATATATATATATATATATATATATATATATATATATATATTTTTTTTTTTTTCAAAACAATTAATGACCAATGAGCTTATTCATTTCAGAATTGTCACTGATATAAACAAACCTGATTGCATGGCTCTCTCTGAATTTAGCCTGAGATGCTGTGGAGGAGGAGTGTCCAGACTGAGAGATTGGTGTATAAAATATACACAGAGCAACAGACTGGATCCCAGACTCCCAAAAACCTATGCTTTCTCTTTGGTGTCTGTATAACATATGCACAGATCCCCCCTTCTCTAAAACTCATTATGTTGCAGCTGCTGTTTCAGGCTAAACTCTGTGGTGGAAATGAGAGTCCTAATTGAGCACAATAACACATACCACTCACATCTCTGCCTGTGAGTTTGCATGAGTTATTTCGGGAGGTCCCAGTTTCCCACTTAGACCAATCCAGCTTATCCCTCCATTGTGCCATCCCATTTTCCTCCCTGCCATCGCTCCTGGAGTTAGGCCTAAATCCCCGTGGTTAAGCCGGGTTTTCCTCTGCGTGAGAATATGGAATAGTAGAGAGTACATGCCGACCAGCCAGACGTGTGGAGGATTTGAGCACTGGCAGGTACACAAAAGACGGCATCCAACTGGTATTCCATACAGCAGTAAATATGTTATCAAGAAGACACACTGTACTACTATTACTTCCAGAGTCATGTGGTTATATAAACTTACACTACATGTTATTGGACATATGGAACTGTAGTATGTTTTAACCCAAATATGACTGTAGCATTCCATTTTTTCAGTATATTTAATTTTTCTCTTAAATGATGCCTGATTGGCTGACTACTACAGACTTTAACTGCATGCTCTTATTTTATCAATTTTCATGGCACAAATAACTGATAACCTTTGGACAATAGAGAAAATGGGCTAATGTTGAATGTAAGGACTAAAACTACATAATCAATCATTTATTATAGCTATATAATCCTCATTACAATGTACAAATAGTCTTTGCTGTCTCAATCTGAATTGTCTGCTATTCTACTCATGATCAGTTTGAATTACATTAGACATAAAAGTGATAAGAACACATGAATATCCTTTGGCCTAAGAGGGTTTATAGGAACCTCTGTGCATGAGGTACATCCTGGACCACAGTCAGTTAATCTCCAGGCCACCAAGTTTTACTCTTTCCAATTTAACACCTATTTAAGAAAAAACACTCCACCAGACTATTTACCAAGAGAGATTTTCTTGATAGATCAATATTATCTACCTATCAATGTAACAGGTGCTGAGCCAGTTTCACCTCCAAATGTAAGTTGCTAATTGAGTACAACTTTTTTAGCCTAAACACAAAATCCCACCCATCATCCCTTTTTCATCTGGATGCCCCGCCTCTTTTCGGCTCTCCTTTCATCATCAGGAGGTGAACGGGGAAGCCCTTCTAGCCATTTGCGCCCCAAGCCCTCCTCTCTCTCTCCTCCTCAGCCCATCAGGTCCAGAGAGGGCCTCTCCAAAAACACCTTGCGCACTGGTACACCCCCTCCGCACTTTCATTTTCTGTGCCCCACACTTCAAACACATGAAAGGATGCTCTGCAGGGACCAAGGCTAAAGGGAAAGCTGGAGGTGGTGCTGGGTACAAGAAAAAATAGGAAGGAAGACTTAAAAGCAGTACTTGTGGAGTATAGGAGACAACTGAGGGTGCAAGGGGTCATAGGGGCCTGGGCTACACAAGGTCAATGCCAAGGACCCTCTTCACAAAGTGGTTTCAATATCCCAATGGGTATAAGCAGCTGTCTCTATGTCAAACAGTTTTGTATGTTGCGAGTTTCAGTTTCTTAACAAGCTCCAAACTGTTAATTAGAGAAGAGATAGATGTGGGGGTAGTGTTAGAAGAAGTTTTCTCTTTGTAAATGGTGTAGGGGACAGACAGAGGAAGTAGCCAGGTGTGGAACTAAACGTTAACAACACAAAACTTGGCTGTGAGCAGTGCTGGCAAAAGCTGTGAGGCCCATCCACTTAAAAGATCTGATAGAGAAAACAGAGGAGATGCAGACACTTCCATGTAGACGGTAATGAAGCGTAAACTTGTATTTTGATTGGAGTTATTCACACTTTGCTGTAACTCATTTCCGTGTCTTTTTGACAGATGGTAAAAGTAAAGATACCTGAAAACGTTGTTGTTTCTATCAACAGTCACAAACTGTGTCTTCCCCACCTGCTTTTGTTATATTCCAAAAGTACAACTCCAATAATCTGACAAATTGCAAACTGAAGCTTTGGCTTTCACTGCTTATTTGTAACCTAAACTTAGTATACATAGTAGGGCCCGACCGATATGGATTTTGTTGTGGCCGATATGAAACCGATATAATGGGAGTTGGAGCTGCCGATAGCCAATATAATCGCCAATATATTTAGTGATGTAAAAATTCACTGTAAATCTTGAATTGTTTAAAAAAACTTAGGTTTGGCTCTAGTAGATTTTAAATTGGGTTTATTTAGGCAACATTTATTGTTATTCTGCCTCTTTACGTCATATTTACACACAGTAGGTTGGCCTAATAGCATTTTTGCATCACATTCTAGACACTAGTGATGGGTATTCCAGTTCTTTTTAGAGAACAGGCTCTTTTGGTTCGGCTCACTAAAAGCAACCAGCTCTTTCGGCTCCCAAGCAGCTCTTCAGATTGTTTTGTTGCAAGCAGGGCTAAACCAGGACTAAAGCAGGTCTAAAGCAGGACTAAACCAGAACTGAACCAAGTCTAAAGCAAGACTAAACCAGAACTGAACCAGGACTGAGTGTCAGGACTCAGTTACTATCTCTCTCCATCTTTCGAGCCCAAGATTAGTCCTGGTTTATTTATTCTATGCTGAACTACAGCCAAACATGCACATTTTTCTATCCTATGCACATTCATATTTCTGAAAGTTTCGTTTTGAGCCGCTGCCGCTGTCAAACTACCACGAATCTGCACCCAGCGTGAAGAGAAAAAAGTAAGAGAAAGAGAAAACACGGCTCCCAATAAGGAGTAGGCTCCCGTCGTTCGCTTCAAATAGCCGGTTCTAAGAGCCGCTTTGTTCGCGACCGACCCATCACTACTAGCTAGTAAAGAAACTACCGCTATTAGCCTTTAGCCGTAAATACGTGCGTGCCGCTGTAATTAATTATATGCACAAATGTCATAATTCACACCTCTATTCACAGCTAACCAAAACTAGCTTCATACATACATACGACATATTTCCAAAACTCACCGCTCACACAGGGTCCTCCTCACATCACAAGTCTGCACTAACAAATGTCCTTTTAATCCAGACTCAAACCGATTGCCCGTAAAAAGAATATAATCTCAGTGTTGCACTTGGATCTATGTCTGCGGGTGTAAACAAGGGCACACACACAGACAAATGACTCTGCAGATAAATACTGATGTGGAACCACATATTAGGACATTTATCTGTCTGTAAATTGGATTAAATGAACATAATGTAGAGAGTCTAAGCTTTATAATGAGGTATAACATGCCCACATGAAATATCGGCCCCTATCAGCAAACATATTGGCTATCGGCCAATTATATCGGCCAACAGATATATATCGATCAGGCTCTAATACATAGTTTGGAAATGATGAGTCCAGGTCAGGGTCAGTAGAAGGGACAAGTTCAAATCTGTTTCCTAGTGCAGATAACAGGAAAATAAATTATTTAACAGTATAATAATATGGCACTGCCTTGATTTTATGAGGAATGAGGACAAAAGTACATTATGCTTTATAGCCAAAGGGTTTGGTTGTAGTCCACCTATTAGGTTTTTTTTTTCACTAAAGTTATTGTTACTAAACGGTTAACTAAATGTGAATGTATCTCCTCCAGTTAATGCTTCCTACTGTCTGTATAATAAAATTAATGTAAAGCAAAATGAATCTCTGTACTCAGTGTACCAAAAAGGTAAATTTTTAGTCCAATTCAAATTCAATTTTGAAGTGAGTCAAAGCTGAAGTTGTTTTTCCATAGTATTTTGTAAAACATCATGCTTTTCCTTTAAATGAAACAATCACATGAGTTCACTTTCAATCTTTAAATGCACTTGAAGAGTATAGAAGAATAGTGTGGAAACTGTCAAACTGAGGAATGTGGAAGTGAGCAGCGTGTCTGAGTTGCGCCACATCGTCTGCCTCCAAGCGCCGAGGCTTCTGGGAAAAGGAAGCCGCCATCAGACTTTACCCTGGGTCATAAAATCCCCCTGCCCCGACCACGTCTCCTCCAAGACACAAGGAAAAGGCTATTAACGTGTTTATAAGCTTCGCCCCCTAGATTTGCAGCCGGCAATTAAAAATCATTACTAATCAAATAAAAATAAAAGTAGCTCCAAGTACAATTCAGGCGGGCGCAGCAAGGATTTATGCTTCAGCAAAAGAGCTCGTAAACACTGCAATGGCTTAATGTATGTTCTGTAGAAAAATGTGAAAAGGTTACAGTTTAATGGAAAACGCAGTGAACGTACATAAAACTAACTTATAAAACTCAAACAGGGCATGATTCCCAACTGGAGCTTCTATTCTCTTAAAAAACAGTATTTGTGTGTGTGTGTTGCCAGAAACTGAGTTAAACTAGGACAAGTAGATTTCTAGGCTTGGCACTGGGCCAGCGAGAGCCCGATCAATGGTTAGCGTTGATGCATGCAAAGGATTGTGGGTGTTAACACAGAGGCGCGTGGTCAGAAATCACCCTGAGTGACACACTGGCGCTGGGTGGGCAAGCTCTACAAATAGAAATGTCAGCACGACTGTGGCTGGGGCAGAGCCGGCAGCAGCGTGGCACGCCTTAGCACAGCACCCAGAGCACTGAGCGCTCACTCACAAGAAGGAGGTGTTATAAATGCTGCTGGTGCACCTTAAAAGGATATTAGGAAATAAAATCACAAATTACTATTTTCAAATTACGTAACTGCATAATGTAGGTAGGGATGTAACAATAACTGAAATATCGTGATATCGTATCGTCAGAGTTCTCACAATAATATCGAAGACCATCATAATATATCGAATTACAAGTCTCTTTGCTTAAATTTAGAGTTATGGTGCAGCAATAGACAAGAGACAAATAGACAAAAAAGACAGAGAGAACTACATTGACCATGATCATTTGTTCCACTTCAGTGTAGAATACGTAAAGAAATAACAGTTCTAAGCACTTTTAAGTCTTAGTTCTTTGGATTAAGACTTGTTAAGGCATTTTAAGAGAAAAAAGTAGCAGATTAACAGTTTTGTTAGCCTCCACAAAATAGCGCAATAAATACCATACCATGAGATGTATATGGTGAAAATATCGTATTGAGAGATTTGGATATTGTTACATCCCTAACTGTGAGCCTCCCCACCATATTGTGAGCTTTCCCACGATACTGCAATAAATATCGTACCATGAGAGTTATACCATGACAATATTGTATCGTGATACTTGGATATCGTCACACCCCTAAATGTAGATGATTGTAGATGTAATTTTTATGTCAGCATTTAAAATCTGTTTGGATATTGAAATCAAATGTCAACTGTTGATTGTAAAGGGGTAAATTAATAAAATTAGACAAAATGCAAACAATCTTCAGCATAAAATCAATAGGAAAATCTCATGGCTAGTTGATCTCAAAGCTAGTTGATGCTTTTTAATTGTGGGCCCCCGCATTTGATGCAACTCAATCTCTAACATATTAGAGCCACCTGAATGTAAAATCTGCTCTTCAGTGAGTCTGATTAAGATGAGAAAGTTCATTACAAATGAACTAATTTCAAGAGAGGAATGGTTGACTCGAACTTGTTCAAAAAAGAGACATATTTTGAGCTTTTAACAACTGTAAAAGAGCGGACTCAGAAATCACAAAATGACCACAAAATTATCATGGCAGACTTGAAAGGGCAACACTACCACAATATATTGAGTGTTCAAGGGTCCAGGTCCCCACTGATGGTAAATTAATTTCTCCTAATTCTGAGTCTCACAATTCATAGGCTACTGCAATTATTATTCTACAACAGTTAATAGCAAAGTTGATCCAGATCTAGACACAAATCTGGGATCAGAAAATTCCAGGCTAAATGCCAGAAGTTAAATTGTATTATTTGAGCTTAACAGAGATTTCTTGTAGACGAAAAAAATAAAATAAAATCAGCCGCCTTTCCCAATTGACAGCAGCTTGTTTGTACTGACCGTGTCCAGGCAGGCCCATGCTGCTGGCCAACTGGTACAGTCTCTGCTGCTGCTCCTCATAGCTGCCCTGCTCACTCAGACTGGACATCATCCTTCTGTAGTGGTCTTCAGGACTCATGTGACCCACACTGCGCCCTGCCTCCACCACCGGGCTCTGCGGGTTCTCTGAAGGATAGAGAAGACAAACACTATTAAAAATCTCTTCAAGTACCACCTAAGAAAATATTTGGTTTCTGAGTGCCACAAGATTTAACAGGACTATTTTAAGACTTAACAAGGTCTAAGGACTATTACACCCATAGCTCTAAAACAGAACTAATCGAAGAGAGGACAACATTGACTCACTAGACCTGTAGACCTCACTAGACCTGCAGAGTACCACGGTTTAGGAACAATTGGAACAGAGCAAAACACAGGAGTGAGAGGACAAGAACAAAGGGATTTTTGATGTTGACCTTACGGAGCTCAACCGAGACACCACTTAGGTTTCGGAAGCACATTTCCCATTCCTTTTCCTCCATAGACCTTCTCAGGTCCAATTAGCTATGTAGCAACTAAACCACTAAAATACCTTACTAAATATCTTTGTAAGTCTTTGTGATGGTGTTTGAAGCATCCATTGCTGCCCCTTGCTATCTCTAGGCGGAAAACCAGCCTTGCAACATGGCCGACTCCAATCCAGAAAGAATCCTCCCAGGAAACCTCGGCTTTCTTCTTTCTTCTTTGGCAATGTTATGTGTTTTGTATGTGATTATACAGCCTTATTTCAATAAAAAAGAAAAAAGAAGGGGAAAGAAAAAAACTGTCTTGGAGCTGTTCCCTGACAGTGTATTCTCACAAGACAGCGGCAGGGGGAGCGCCATCGCAAACGTAGTTCTGTTTTTGCGTTATCAAATAGCTTTAAACTATTAATACTTTTCATAGTGGACTGGACTGGACAGGATCCTGACTCAAAGTTTGGAAACCAATACACGTCTACATTTCTAATCACAGCAGACTGGCTCTTATAAGTATCATTCACTGAGGAGTCCATGTTTTCAGATGTGGAAGCCTCTGCAGATGAAGCTCTACACATGTCCATGCATAGTTAATGCCCTGAGCCTGACCCCAGCCTGAACCCAGCTCTGCTCTGACAGACACGGCAGCACCCGCGCTCACAGGCAGTAGGTGAGAGGTTAGCAAGAGAGGGTTAGTACAGGATTCTTCCAACTCTATGTCCAGTATTAACTAAAGACAAAAATGTGAACAAATGCCCAAAGAGAAACATAAAAACAGAATAGAAACATTTCTGTTTACTGGTTGTCACAATAAATTAAGGGCAGCTACCACTGATATGAAAATACAGTATATGCAATGCAGGTTATATATATATATATATATATATATATATATATATATATATATATATATATATATATATATATATATATATATATATATTAAAGGTTTCAAGATGAATTCAACTGAAATTATAGCATCAAAACACTTAAATGTAACACATAAATAGCAAAATAAAGTCTGTGTTGTTGTGCTTTTACTTAAACAGTATGAAAAGTGCAACTTCAGTGCCTTTGGAAAAATGATGGTGTGTTTGATTGATTTCTCTCTGTTGTTAATCCCTATGCCCCCAGCTCTTCTCCTCTGCCCCCTCAGTCAACAGTAACCTGATCTGAGGTGCGGGTGGCGGGAGATATAAGGAGGAGGTTTGGGAGTGGGAAAAGACAGAGAAGGCGGGAGCGTTGGGAAGCTGGGGTTATTTTTACTTATACTCTCTCACTCCCTATTGACACTGAGCTCGGCCCCCAGCGAGCGAGTGGCGGGATGGGGCGGTAGAGAATGGGGGTGCTGCATCTCCATCTGCCCCAAAGCCATTAGTTAGGGAGCATGGATCTGTTAAAATAACTGGATAGGTTAGTTCTAGCTTTGACTTGTTTTGAGTTGGATTAGTGGCCATTCATTGGTACAGCAGCAAAAAATAGCTCCTGCACATAAAGCATTTTTCCAATAGAGCGTAATGTAACAAGCTTTTCATATTTGGCTGACAGGGCACCTCTATTTTCAGATCATACACTTTTTCTCAGCTCAAAATCCTTCAGCAGTCATAAAAACTGCTTTTTAATCGTTAGCTTAATACTGATATATGATAGTTAGCAAAACTATTGAGATGTTTATATTTTATATTATTATTTGTCAATATTGTCCACCCACCCCTATATTGACTTGAAGGTAACCCAGATCAATATGTTATCCGCCTCTATGTAATCCACGCATATGCAGAATCCCTATATGTCTGCTCATCTGTATTTGTGTGTAAGTAGTGTGTGCCTGCCCAAACTTTACTGAGCGTTTAGTCACAGCAGGGGAGCCGTCTTCGCACCGAAAAGAAGAAAAACAGACATCATTTACGCAGCGGAGGCCGGTCTCTGAGGCTCAGGCCATCCACTATACTCGCAATTTATTCCTCCGCCTGCGTTGGTCATTAAGGGATAGAGCGTGTTGCCAAAACGGAAAAGAGGATGTGGAGATGTGACAAGCAGAGACACACAGGTGCGGTGTGAAGGGAGGGGAGGCAGATCAGGGTTAAACACACTGGATCAGCAGTGTTTTCTGACGGCTTAAAGGTACTTCACTGGACGAAAGCACACTCAACATAGCAGCAGCACCCATGTTCAAATAAAGCCCCAACTGACATTCACCAAACACAAAGACTTTGAATATACCATAGCAAGAAATTGTTGAATTAAAATTTTTTAACCCAGAAGTCTCAAGTTAGTGTCTGTAGCAGCCCCATGTCTGGATAAATGCAAACAGACATATGAATGAAAAGAAACTTCTAAAAACTATTCAGGATTCCTACTCTTGTGATAGGGTCTTCAGTGTAAGGTTTGTGACTTAATGGGGGGTTGTGGGGTACAATGTGAAGGTAACAAAACAATCTACTGTAGTTCATTTGATATCATTGTTAATACATTATTAATTTAACCTAAATCCAATGCATGCTTTCCATTATAGAATCACAAATTTTATTCTATATTTGTAACTATAAATTATAATACTCAACCAAAGAATAAACAAAATTTGACATTTTGGGTGAAAGATTGGGATCCCCAGTTTTTTACTATCATTTTGGGGACCTTGGCCTAAAAGATATTCAAGACCCCTGCTCCACTGGGTATTTTAATATGATGTTCCAATGATGTTTAGCTAATAGTTTCTGAGTTTGAATTAGATTGTATGCACTTTTTAGCTGGTAAATGCAATACTGACCCTAAGAAGAAGCAGAGAAAACTTTGAGTCAGACACTGCACACACATACATAGTAAAAAAAAACTTGCACTTTGCCCTAAAAGGAGGCCACCACTCCTGCCTCATCGTAACACTGCTCTTTGGGCCATACATCTTTTAGGAGATGGTCTCGGCTTGGGTTGAGTGAAAAACCATGAGTGAGTGCTTCTCTTGACACAGACACACACAGCTCCAGGCAGGGCCACTAAAGGTCAAGGGTCAAGCAAACAAATCGGCTTCAATCTATTCTTCCTCTATTTGAGCATCACTGGTGTGTAGTAATCAATAGAGTTTAGGTTAGATTCAGTGTGTTTTTTCAATGTGAAATAACCGGCCAAGTGGATGTGGTGAGCTACTTTTGGTTTTCCCTGCTTTATTGCTACAGGAAGTGACATGGGCAGGGAGTGGCCTAGCTAACTGACAGACAAGACACGTGAATAAGTACCTAATCCAGATAGATACTGAGGTGAACATTTTACACAACAGTTTTATGGAAAAACACGGGATATTTTTTTTTTTTTTACCTTAGTTCACAGATTTTTTTTTTACTTTTATCACAGTAAGTTTTTATACTACAAGCATGGTCTGTCTGCTCACTACTACTGTTTGCTTGTAAATGTTATATATATTAACAAAAATACATGTGTTGCAAATCTAGAAGCATGTCATTGGCACAGACTTTGCCAAGGCATATGCTACATTACAACAGACGTTCCTCCTACATATTGTTGGAATCATATTTGTACAAAACCCTATCTGGTATGGTATAAAACTCTCTGGAAAGTTATTCCTACCAGACCCAATGTTAGAAAAATTCTTACTTGATTTGCATAAATATGGAATTGGTTGTTTGTGTCATATATCAATGAAGTCAATATTTATCCCTCATTAGATGCATGGGATGCCAGAGGCTACATTTTCTGCGTTTGCATGTATTCTTGTTTTCACTACAACAATGCATGCAAACATCTGTATCTAAATATATCTTTAAAAAAAGGTTTTTGCAGAAGCTACATACCACAAACCCACTGCACCACAGTTGTCTTACCTTTTGGGGATACACTACGTGACTTCTTGCTTTCTGAGGGACAGTCGCTGCTGCTGTTTGGAGAGAAGCTTCGTCTTTTGCCCAGAATGTCGTCTGAAAAAACACCAAAAGAGGAAAGTCATTAAAGTCATTGCAACCCAAAGATCCCACATTAAACTGTAGCAAGATACAGCAAAGTTTGATCTCATTGTATTAATATTTTGTGGTTTCTAAAGGATCAATAGCAAAAGTTATTATGGTGTTTTTAGCATTTTATTTAGGATGAGAATGGACAAAATATTAGGAGAAAGATTGGAAATTTATTTGATGCAATACACTAATTTCTAGGTGAGTTCTAGTTGCTGTGTGGGCTGAATGCAACAATACTAAAAAACTAACATTTTTCATTTATAATAAAAGAAAAACAGGAAGTTATCTTGAGGGGAGCATTTGGCTGTAAGTGATGGTTGTAATAAATAAATTGTACAATTTAGGTACCTGGATGCATTATTGTTGAAAATGCAAGTGAAGACGAAAAGACAGTTGGCCAATATGTCATAAACTTTCATAAAAACAATACATTGGGTATCATTGTGTTAGGTATCATTAGGTAAGACTCCCCAGGCTAGTTTGTCTCCTTCCTTCTCTTTCCTTTCAAGGGTCTTTAAAGCCTCCTCATCAGAATCCCCATCTCCCTCCTTCACATTATGTACAATCAGAGCACTCTTTCATTCGTCTTCCCTCATCCCTCTTTCCCCTCTTTGCCTCCTCACTCTCCCCCTAAACACACCTCCAATCAATAGGGCCCTAATCAGCCAGAGAGGGGATGCAGAGCACACAGGAAGGAAGAGGCTGTTTGTCATTGTTCTATCTCTTTTAATAGTATCTATTTCATGCACCTTCTCTAACAGCCACAGCTACTGTTTCTGCTTTAGAGATAGCCATTCTTCTGTTGTCTTTTAAATACACTCAAGAGCTTAGCAAGGGTTCAGGAAAAGTTTTTTTTTCTCATTTAAAATGTGAATTCTCTAACATTCCATTTAATTTATTTAAAAAGTGATGAGTGGAATGTTACTGAAAAAGTTTTTAGAATGATACAAGTGAAGACATTTGGTGGAATTTTCTTTGTATTTGCACTTTCAAATATTATATACAACAATAACAGGGAAGGTTGGACTGAGTGAGAGAATTACTTGTTCCACACAACACAAATAGTCAATAGAGCACCTGCAATCTCAATGATCAGATCCTTCACGTGAAAGAAACAGCACATTTGTACATGGGGGACTACCTGTGCTTTGCCAAAAACATCCTTGTCTTTGATCAGATAGTCTTTGCAAGTGGCTGTTTAAATGTATAGCCGCCTTGACCCTTAACCTTTTCTATATCATTCCCAACCACACTAGTGTCCTTTATTTTCTGTAACAAGACAGTTGGACTGAGGGGGAACACTTAAAGGGGGCTCTGAGGACTTTGTTGGAGCCACTGCAGAAGCTGTGGTGTTGATGAAAGCTGCACACGAGAAAGACAAGATGGAGGAACAGAGGACGGAGAGGGGAGGTTCACTAATGATCCACCGTTTGAAGTATATGCTGTTCCCGAGGAGATCCACTGGTCCAAAGAGTGTGTGTGCGACTGTGTATGTGTGACAGAGGGGGGGTCTGTAGGTCTACATGGGATGAGGTTAATGGATGCACACCTTTTTCACCTCCTTTACCATCTCACTCCTTCGTTTCCAAATAATGTTCGTTTCTTTCACTGATCCTTTCAAAAAATACTTCAAGTCTCAACAACAAAGACACCCCCATTAGTTAAACTCCATCTCGCACACACACCCACAGCCCTCTCATGATCAAACGCACACACTTGAGTCGTCTCTCAGGCCCACCTCACTCAAGACACTGCGTCTCCTGCTCCGGGCCCCGGGGCCAGAGATTTGAGGGCGGAAAGCTTTTAAAGCCAATTAAATGGGGCTTCTTAGAGCACCAGCGCTCCCTTTTAATGCCTGACTCTCAGCTCAATCCGCTAACCCTGTTACTCCTACCAGCGGCGCTAGCAGTCAGGTCGGCTACCTCAGGCTCTCCCCTGGTGGCTCATTCTTAGTAGGGCTACGTGGTTGGGGCAGCAAAAAAGGGATGGATTTTCAATGTTCTGAAAGATGTTAAATTAGAGGTCAGTTACATGTTATATGAAGCAGAAAAACATAATGCTTCCAAGAGAGCATCACCCGACAATATATTTTTCTTATGTTGTAGAGGTGCGTTGACTCTCCATTTGCTGAATAAGTCAGTTGGCTCTAAAGTTGGTTGTGCTTGGAGGGTCAGTATACAACACTGGATCTTCTGTCTCTAACCTGCTACATGTTGCTTTTTCTACGGGGATGAGGGCAGTGCTTAGAAAAACCAGAGGGACTTAAAACACTTTGGTTGATCTGACAGAGTGGAGCCGACCGTCATTTTTCCTTTCAGCCTGTGATTTCCGCTCCTCCCTCAAACTTTAGCTGTCGTCCTGTCGGCGCTCCGTCCCGTGGAGCGTGGTGACAGCTCAGACAGCCAGACTCCTTAATTCCTCTCTTACTCCGTTAATCTGTCATCTTTATCAGGCTGGTCGTGGGGCGGGTGGAGGGAGGAGGGGTGGGCCTCTAGCCGCAGACCCCCGATCAATCTCCACATTACAGCTGACAGAATGGTGCTAATAACTTATTGATCCCTCCGCGTGCGACGGGGCCTCCGCCGGCCCTGAAAGCCCTGCCATTGATTGGCTTACGGCCGACGGCAGGACAGGGCAAGGAGGGAAGGGGGGTAGAGGGGACGGAGGCATGCACTGAGGGGACACTGCTGTCAACACATGCAAATCTACAAACAGTGCTCCTCTAGGTCAAGCATGTTTGAGCTGGAGAGGTCAAAATAAAGGCACAGTTTAAAGAAGCTGCAAGACCAGTGTCACACATGGACCAATCAAGTGTGACATTGATCATTAGCAGAAGATATTCTGTCTATTCAACTTGAAAAAAGATGCAGACAAGTAACAATAGCTCATGTAAAACCACTTCCTTTCGTCAAGTTTATTGAATACTCTTCAACCAAATCTGGCAGAAAAGCGACTGTTGCAGAGGTTAGAAAAAGTTATTGCCATAGCTCTAACTTTGAGTCAGGTTATATTTTAAATATAGTGGAACTATATTTATTCTTTCATTGCTTTCATATATAGTAGTTAATTATATTGCAATCCCAGGGCTAAACCACCCCCGGTCACTTTTGGCTACTGTTGCTAGGGAACAATCAAGCTAATGCTGAATATTAATTTTCTCATAAAAACACACTCCTTTGTTCACAGTGAATGTATGGTTTATATAAAGATATAATGAGTAGGAGAGATTACACTGAACCATTTATAAATATATAATGTTGGATTGTCTGGTATGTTTTATACTGCAACTTTAAATTTTTAAATGAGATGAAATAAACAAGTTTCATTGTTTATCAGGATCCCCACTGGCCAGTGGCAAAGATTCCTCTTCTTCTAGGGCCTTCCCCAGCTCAACAAATTCAATACTATATTCTAATACATGCCAACCAGTACAATTATAATTCTTAACCATTTGACTTTGCCTTTTATGCTAATGGTGTAATAAGTGCTTGGTGAAAAGTAATCATCATGTGTGCTTTGCACGAACACGCTGGGCCGGCTCACGCAAGCTCCGCCTGAGCCAGCCATTTAAAGGTGCACAAACACATACACACATGCTTAAGCACACACACACACACATGCACGCAGACATACGCACACACACACTACAGCCGTAACTGCCTGTGGGAGTCTGAGCAGGAGAGCGAGAGCGAGCAGTCCAAAAACACCTTATCTGCCTGAGTCTCCGGTCTGACCGCAGAGCCACAGTTTACAGTCTCCACAGGCAGCCAGGCGCCCGCCCCCCTCCACACTCACACACCTCACCGCCGACTGGGAAGAGAGAGAGAGAAAGAGAGAGAGAGAGAGAGAGAGAGAGAGAAAGAAAGAGAAGAGAGAGAAAGAGCAAAGAAAGGGGGAGGCAGCCCTCCCGTCTGTCCCTCAGATTTAATTAACGGCCCGCTCCGGCACAGTAAGAACCCAGCGTTGCTTCCTCTGCCTGACCCATACACACCCAAACCTGAACGCACACAAACTATAAACGCACACAAACTGCACACAAACACAGGCATACTGCACACACACACACACACACACACAGGAGCGGCCGCCACAGCGACGTGGGCCTCCCCCGGCACCACACTCATTCATCTCTCGTCTTCTGAGTCTGTCTCCAAATGTTCCTCCCATCAGTGTGTTTTTTAATCGGGTGTGCACTCTTTCAGAACTCTACTGTAAATCATTAACCTATTGTATGTCCAGAGTAGAAGAAGAAGACATAAGAGTCCTTAAATCCGCTGTGCACTTACTCTCGAACTTTATATCTCTGACGCCCACCTGTTGGGGCTCTCTATTCCTTTGGCGTGGGCTCTACCTTTTTTAATGGTGAGTCTGTGGATATGAGCATTTCACTGGCAGTCAGACTTAGGGCTGATCGGATTGACTTGTTTACAGACACCAGGCGAGCAGCTAATACAACCTGTTAAATCTGTCTCTAATGCCCAAACTAACAGCTTTTAGGGCCCCACCACCCTCAGAATGGGGCAACATGCTGATGCCCCAGTCACTTATTAAAATGGTAGATGTAAAAGACAATAGGTCTATGTTCACAGTTTTTCCTTGTGTACAGACAGAATTGCAAGAATGTATCTATGTGTAATAATTAGTTAATTATTTAATCATTTATGATTATTTCTAAACTTCAGGTCTTATGGAGTTGTTACTAATACCCTACACCCCCCACCCAATCTGACCGTATGGATGATTAATCTCTTGTGTGGAGATGATCACAGAGAGAGGGGCTGCTGAGGTGTTGGGTCTGGATTCACGATACCACTTGCTGTGCCATTGGCTAATGGGCTAAAAGGAGGGGTCATGTTGGGGCAAAAGGGGCAACAATAAGTCAGTGTAATGCCAGATTGAGTTGGAAAATCAGGTAGTAGTAGAAATACATTGAGAACTGGTGAATTTGGATCTTTAAGTTGTCAAAATTTACAACAATTCCCTATATTGCCCAGTCAGTAAGGATGAGAGTGAGAGGTTGGCTGTCTAGTTTGTCTGTGTGAGCTCTAACTGGCAAGCGCCAAATGTAGATTTAATACACAAAAAGGTAAAGAGTATTCTGTTAAATGATTTGAAATTATAAATTGCTTAGTTTGAGTTGCCTTTTCCTTTGAACTTAAGTTGAAATGGTGCAGTAATATGACATGTATAAGGATATTGCTGACGATGGACTAACCATTTAAACACACAGACAGAACTAACAAGAGTATCCTAAATAATATGCAAATAACACATAAGTACCCACCCTGCATTGCCTTACCAATGTCCCAGCCACAGCCATATATCCTGGTCACTGCACAATATCCTCATACGAGCTCCTTGACAAATAGCTGTGATTAAACTCTGTCTGTGTTGTGTCTGTAAGCCAGGGGAAAGGCTCTTAGCTTAGCACACACGCCAGTTTCTTCTGCTCACAACCAAATGGATTAATGGCAAACAAAGCTATTTATTCAGAGGTAATTTAAAACAGGGGCTTTAGCAAAAATCCTGGAGTGCAGCAGGAAATGTGGGAAGAACATTAAGTAATCAAGTTGAGAGCCACCATCAGGAATGACTAATAAGCTTATGTTAAATTCTCCCAATCACACAAATTAGAGTGCATTAGATGGATAATGGAATAATTACATGAGTTACGGAGAGAGAAAAGGTGAGGGGTTGAAAAAGAACAACAGACCAGACATAAGAGACAAAATACAACTCCACAGCTAATAGCAGTTGGAAGCAGATAAATACTGTAATTGCAGAACCTAATATCCAATATCACCAGCCTCATAGCATAACTGCCTAAGTCATTTTTTTTTGGCCAAATTGAGTTTTCTGTCTCATTCTAGTCTTCAGAACCTACTGCATCTGTAGGTGTCATTGACTCCCTTTTCAACCAATCAGATTGGCTGTTACAGGAAAAAACACAAACTGCTCAGGTCATCTTACTAACATAGTTTATTTAGTATTTTCCTAAAAACCTTGAAAAGTGATGTAGGCAATTATTTTATAAGCTAACCATATGTAACAAACACATATCATGTCTAGTGCCCAATCCTGGCTAGTTAGTCCCACCTGTTTGCCCGGCGGTGCTGCGCTCAGACTGGCTCTCGGACATGCCGTGCTGCCTTGTGTGGTGTAGGTTGGAGATTATTGTGGAGAGGTCATTGTCCCGACTGTAAAACACAACACAAAAATAACATTACCATCAAAATCTGAGCCAACATATAAACAATATTCACTAGTATTTAGAGTATAGTACATCACTCACTAATGCACTTTGACAGACTCCTGTATCCAGCACTTTTGGGTCTCATCCCATCTCATTATCCACATTAAGATGTATTAACCACCATTCAAACTCATAAGAACTTCAGCAGCTTAAAGACTGTCTCAGTCTGTGACTGCTGTAACTGTTCTGTTAGAGGAGCATAGTGACCATTTTGGTAATGTAACTCAACAACCTGTTCCGTGACAATTATTTCTGTTTAAAAGTGATTGGTGGTTTGATTCTGGAGTTGGGCAACACAAGTGGTGAAGATTTTATGTTAGAAAGGTCCTCTCAAAGTAATGTGGCTTGCAAAAAAATCATGTTCTCTTTTGTCAATTTGTTATGTCCCCATTTCCTTCCACTGACACAAAAAACATGGCATCTGATGTAAATGTGGATCAAAACCATTATAAAACTATTCTGCCAAGATTTAAATCTGTCCTTTTTATTTCACTCTGAAGAGTGTTGATACTTACTCTGATATGAGTATCAATACTTTTGACAACAATTATGTACTAGACATAACTGATATAACTGTACAGTGTGGACATGACGCTAAGGTTGACATCACGTCTCTCCTTTGTCGCCTCTTTACTGCGGCGGTGTGATCTCTGCAGGGGGTCTGGTTATGACTGCGCCTGTAAAGTTTTGGGACAGGGGCGCTGTGTGGTTCTGAGTTGCACCACTGTGACGGGACACGCGGTCTGTGGCTGCTGGATTTGGGTTTTTACAGCCCCATGATTACAGGCTGCTGCTCTAATGTCAGGCTACCGGTCGCCAGGCTGTTTTCCACACGGCACCGCGGAGATGGAGGTTAGAGCGGAGGGCTTAATGCGCCACCTTTCAGTCAGAGATGCACTCGTTCAGGAAGGAGGAAAAAGTTAAAGACCCAACTGTCACTAAGTTGGGCGCTACAGTCATTTTTGGACTAATGACTATTTCTATTTTAGTAAAGAACTTAAATTAACTTAAATAGTGGCTATTTGGGTCTGAAAGTACCAAAAGGTAAATGGGATAAAGATGTGTTTTACCTCTAAATGTTTTACCAAGTAAACACACTAGCAGCTAGGGCTGAGAGATATGGCAAGAACATAAACCACTCTCATATTGAACAATTTGTTATTTGATTTAATTTGGTCTTACTTAAATAAAACAAATAAAATAGGCTTTCGACATTAATTTCTGGAACATAAACAATATATATTTTTGAATGCACTCCAAACCAGATGAGTGGCTCTGGACAATGACTGAATCTCAATGTGATTAACTGCATACCCCTACTACCAACCCATTTTTGAGTTGTGCCCATGTAGAAAATGTAATATTGGTAAATTGAGAGTCATTGTGTTTTAAGAAGCTGTGTTTCAAAGTGTTGACAAATGAAAACTTTCAACAAAAGATTTTCCTGGTAGAGGGATGATTTCAAGACACAGTGCAACAAGTATAAAAGTGAACATAAAAATATACACATTATTTTAACAAAAAGGCAATTGATGTTTACAAACAGCAAAGACATTTTCAACCAGTTTTACTAAAAGATTTGTAAAATGGTCGAGAAAGGTTTTACATCGATTTATAAACCACAAACCCACTAGACTATAAGATTCCTCAGCTATTGCAGCTATCAGTGCGTGGTGCAGTTATTATCCAATGGCAAAGAGGCCGTTTTAAGCTGCAAGGACATAGTTAGTGGGGTAATTAGACGCACTTTCCTGAGCTATCCCGCCTGGGCTCCAGCTAATGAGGGCTTGGTCCAGTTGCCCCCCACCTCTGCCCCCCTCCCTCACCACCTCTGTGCTATCTTTAGGAGGCAAAGGCAAGGTCATATTATAGGCCTGACGATGGAGGGAGCGAGGGAGGGTGTCTAAAACCTAGTCACCTGAGTCAGCGCTCCCTGAGGAGATGCTAAGGCGGGGGTTAGCGCAAGAAGGACGGCGCCGCGGGGAAAATGTCTGGAGGCTTTGAGCGCTAAGAAGGACATGAGCCCGTCTTATCACCCAGGTGCACGCCCGCCACCCTCATCTCATCCTCCGCTCGGCCCACAGCGGTCAATACAGCCCCCAGTGCCAGCACACACGCACACAGACAAACATACACACACTGACCTGAATAGAGCCGGGCTAATACGTGCTGTAAGATACACAACAGGTCATGGATACTACCAATAATGGAGAGATCACTGGGAAAGGTGAGCCTATCAATCTGTGGAATTATGAATGTAATGGCTCTTAAGTACTATATGCAGTTAAAGTGTTTGTTTGAGAACTCTTTTTATATTCAGAATAATTCATATTTGTATTAGCCATATAATGCACTTTCTAGTATTTAGCAGTAAACTAGATAATTATTTTAGATTTTGATCACTGTAAACATCAGTGGTGTTGTAAGGACTTGCAGTGGAAAGTCAAAACTGGTAAAAACTGAAAAACTGATTATCTTCTGCTGGCCCTGCCTCTTCATAGTGGCATTACACCATATAGCAAACAATGGATTTTCAGCTGCCCTCGAGCAGACTGACGGAAGCGCGGCTGCCAATCTGGGCCATCGGCCCCTCTGACCACCACCAACACTCAGGCACACATAACATTAAAACATTTTCTTGGTCTCTTATGATTTTGTTTTTCACATCGTATTTTGCTGTATAAACTTATTTGAGATAGCCTATTTTACCTGATTTGCTTTTATTTTATTACTATATATGTCATATCTGTTAGGAGCAGCAGACCAGCACTTTTACTTGTCCTTTCCCTGGCAGGTCTGTTGCTTGTGTGTAAGATCCCTTTGCTGCCCTGCTGAAACATTGGCACCAGGGGCTGAGGTGTCTGCATGAGCTGGCGCAGAGTGGCAGCTCCTAGTCGCCACGTCTCTCACACTGAGACACAAACAGGAGGAGAGAGGGGGAGAGAGGGGGCGAGAGAGCGAAGAGAGAGAGAGAGAGAGAGAGAGAGAGAGAGAGAGAGAGAAAGAGAAAGAGAAAGAGAGCAGATAGATACACCCAAAACTATCACAAGAGCTCCAACATCTGGTGCTTAAAGGGCTTATGCTGTTCCCTCCTCCAGCCATGACCATTGAAGCCCACTCCAGCCGGCACATGTGGCCCGCAGCAGCACTGAGAAACTCCAGCAGATTGTGGGCAATAGTCAGCAACTTCGACATAAGGTGGGATCAGGTAGAGTCCTGGCAACATTTAGTATGCAAAGCCATAAAAAGTGCAGTGAGAACTATAAAACAGGGAGTACGGTTGGTACAGCATAGTATTATCAATTATTGTAAACAACCAATTTTCATATATTGAATAAAATGGGACATTGGCCTGTGAGCACCATGAAAGCATGTCAAGTGATATATAGTATGAAAAAGTTGTAATTAAGCTTCACATCTAACTCACAATACACAGACTATATGTTGTAAATAAATAATATAGCATACCAGGGGGAAAATGACATTTTGTAAGGATGGACTAATATTGATATGTCCCCTCCTGCATCTCCTCAAAATAATATAAAAAAGAGTGAACTGTTCAAAGACTCTACTATAGCTACTCTATATTGTACACACCATTGCTACCTTAGCAAAAGCCATGTCTACTTAGCAGTTAATAATAAAATGTACTTTGACTAAAACATGCACATTCTGCTCTGCACCAAAAGCCAAAAGGGCAGAGTCGAACAGATAAGCGGGAGCCGTAAGAGATGGATTCTCGTGAGTTTGAAATCTCAAACTTTGCGACATCCAGTTTCCAGTACAAGGTTACAACGCTGCCATATTAACCGTCATGTAAACTGACACTAAGCCAACAGTGCATGACTTTCCTTCTTATGTTGATCATGCAATTAGCCAATTGTAGAATGCGTAAAATGTTTTGGTGTTAGCCAACGCCTTGCAAAGAATTAAATTGGTGTGATTGCGTTGTCATGGGAAACCAGTGTAAATAAGGACACATTTTCTAGAAGTGGAAATCTCCTCCAGTAAACTATAAAACCTCCGCAGCCTGACTAATTAGTGCTTTAGGGCAAGGCTTTTCCAGTAATGTCTCACTGTCCGCGACCTTTACACGCATCAGCCAATGACAAAGCGTTCAATAAAGCCACGGGATCCAAAGTCAAACAATGTCAGGCTACTGCTCCTATATGTTCTAACTATATACAACATCCTCACCACATTTAGGACTTTAAATAGTGAATGTTTTCAGCACTAGTTATCATCTATTTTTACTGAAAGAAAGGTTTTTACAAGGCAAGGTTTTCAATATCCAAAAAGTGGCAGCATAACAATTATCCAGAGACTTATTCAGCACTTTTCAATAAACACTTGTTATCTGAAACCAAAGTGGGCTTTTCCCAGGAGTAAAACACACAATCCTGAATTAGAGCTATCAAATATTTAGTCCTTGAGATGAAATCCATAAATCAGTGTTAACCAATGAGTTACATAAACGGATCTCTAACTGCACTTAGGTTAAAGCGTTTATTCTTTCTTTTTTCTCTTTTTTTTGGATAATTCTGTCACAGGCTCAAGATAAAGATCAAATATTAAACTTTAGTTCTAGTTATTAAACATACTTCTTGGTAGACACATTTTGAGACATATCATCCATAGCTGCTTTTTAAAAGTAAAGTGCTGTGGTGAGGACAAAGCTCTTTGAATGAGCAGTGCTAAGACCAGCCTGAGTGACAGATGACAGTGATCAGGCCCAGTGTCTGATGATGTGAGGACGACCAGCACAGCCTCACACACATGTATACACAGCCTCTGTATTTTTCACATCCATTGGCCAAATCCAATTTGTTAAGACCCTTCTACGACTCACTTACGAAGCTGCGGTCAATGGAAATCACATTTCCATGATTGGACATCCCATTATCCGGCCCATCCAGACTCACATAGAGGGCTAAAGCCCGGGACAGACTGGGGCTGCGGCTCCAGCGAGTCCGTCGCCTCTCAAAGGGTAAAAGCCTGACATATTAGTCATAAGTGTTCTTTAAATTCATTATCATCTTAACGCGCCGGCAGCACAAGTGTCAGGGGGAGGGGAAGCCCTCTTAAACGAGGTTAGTGGATCCATTTAAAGCCGCGCAGTTGCCACGCTGTCCGCTGTGTCGCACGCTCATTTGAGAAATAAAAAACATCTTCTGTAATGAGGCTGAAGGCTGCTTATGATGCAGACAGAAACACTGGGCCTAATCAATGAACAGCATTATGTGAATCTCACAAACCAAACAGCATCCTTATTATTGTCCAATACAAATGTCATGATTAAATAAACCTCTCTCTGTGGACGATCATTGGCCCATGTCTTAATGAGAGTCTTAAAGTAGAATATGTTTTAGTAAACACTAACACAATCACACCAAAATGCTCTTATGAATTATGTGACTAATGAGCTCACAAAATACTCAACAAACTCTAATGATCCAGTTGTGACAATTAGTCCATCATCCATAATGTTTGTACATAAAAAAACCTGTTTAGCTTCGTAAATAAATCATATCCTGCTGTTGTTTTCTCTTATTTGGGGATATATTTTTAGCATTTGCTACAAAATAAGCTCAAATTGAAAGCACTTTTATAGTACATTTCCAAACAAAGTTGAGCACAGCACAACTTTGGCCATCAGAATACGTCAGAGGAGATATAGTGATTCTTGGCAGCACTTGTAACAAACACAAACAACAAACCAATTAACACTTTGCGAGCCCAGTGCACATCTTCCATTAGACAGTGCAAAGAAAAGCTGTAAGAGCATTTTTAAGCATCTTTGTCTGAGCCTCTCAAACAAGCCTTTAACACATATAAATTACACCAAATCCTTTTAAAAGTAACAACAACTCATTTCAATCATTAGGTGAGGGCTCACTTTTAAACAGGAAGTGAAGAGAAGCAAACAAAACTGAACGTAGGAGAGAAAGAAGTGACAAGTCGAAGGCTAGGGTGACATTTCACAACATACATGTGAATTATACACCCACTTTATCATGAGAGATTTCAATAGCACAAAAACAGTGAGGAGGAGGTTGTGTCTCACCTTTTCCTCATGATACTAAAATGCAGCTCGTCCTCCTGCTTGATGTGGGCATGGTCCCCGCTGGCCCGCTCGCTGCCTTCGCTGTCGTCACTGCTGAAGATAGAGGCCAGCTCCTTCTTTGGCACCCGGTTTGGAGGGAGCGGGATGGTGCGCTTCTCAGCCAGTCGCCCCCGGTTCTGCGTGCAAAAGGCACTTTACATAGTATAGGCTACAAATCACAGATAGTAAGCAGTTCAAAAGTTCAGACAACAATCTGAAAAGTTGACCTTGTGTATGTAATTGTTTAATAACAGTAATAAAAAGGCAAAGGGTTGTCTGTCTAAGTCCAAGTCAAAATTTATTTTAATACCAATTACCCATACAAATTACCTATCACAATCATAATAAAATCACTCTTTCTCTACAATAATAATCAACACAAAATATTGGGTTTAGTATCTATTTGTATCTGATTAACTTTTGATAACCCTACCCAGTAAAGACTAGCATTATAGTCATTACATGTATGTACTGTAACTCCACAGAATAATCAAAACAAACAATATCAGTGTTTGTGGGGAGACTGATCTCAGCACTACATTGTCATTCACAAATATCTTTCATCTCTGATTGATAAAATAACATAACTACATTGTTGTGTATGTTGAAATGTGGGTTCAGGAAGTCATGCTGAATGACCTTTAATGTGACCTGATGGCTCTGAATTGGAAATCCCAGTCAGAGAAAGTCCAGCACAGAGCGGGCTGAGGCAGTAAAGGAGATGAGAGGAACACAGGAAGAGGAAGGGGAGAGAAAGTGAGCAAACTCTGGGCTGAGGTACAGAGAGAAGTGAGCAGAGCGGACTTGTTTTTGCAGAAGGTGAGAGAAATGTAAAAATGAAAGAGACTGTGCAGAGTCCAGACATGAGAGGCTACACGGAGGCAGCTCAGCCCAATGTGGGACACTGGACCTGGGTTTAAAGTCTCTCTCGCTCCTGCCCACATCCTGGTTCTTATTCCCGGACGCCTCTGAGCCCTGCAGCTATCCCTCCACCACGCGCAGCCCGTCACCCCTCTCCTCCTCTCTCCCACCCCTCTCTTCCCCATGTCCCGAGAGGCGCGGCAGCCTGAGTGGCAGGCGGGGGCAGGAGGAGGGATTTGGGGGCTCCTAGCCAAGAGGCAAACAGGTGCAGCCCCTCTGGAGTCTCTCAAATGGCAGACTTTAAAAAGAGTTTGGGGGGAGACAGAGGAAGATGAAAACATCCCTCAGGACGAACAGGCCACAGTTCTGCACAATTCTCTTTTAAAACCTCGCCAGAAAAACACTCTTTTCCTTCTTTCTTTCTTTTAAGAAGTTGTGTACAGCAGTAGCACCAAATGACAACAGATCAGTTTACTGTTACTTTTGCTAAGTTATATTAAGGAACTATTAAACACATAAATGCAACAAGTTCGACAAAACAAATGTTGCAAAAACACAAATAAAAACTATACCATTAGCAGCCTTAAGAAGGAATGGAAAGATATACTTAAGTCAAAATGAACAAATCATTTATTAAGAATGGCTCAGGCTTAGTAACTAGTTAACAGTTAGGAGTTAGAGTTAGGGTATACATTAAATAGTTATTAAGTCTGAATAATTCTCAATAAACTATCTGTTCATAAGGCTCAATACAACAACTGGAGAGGACTATTGAACTTGTGTACTTTCGTCTTATTATAAATGAAGACTTTCTTCATGCTTTATCAAAGCTTATTAAGATGCAGTTAATATTAAGTGTCACAAATATATTGACAGAAAATAGACTTATGTGTCTTTCCTCATGTCCTAAAAACACAAGTGAATACCTGGTCTATATTAATATCAAGTCTGACCAGAACACTGAAAAGAGGAACAACAAGCTATGGGAAGTTTAAAAAATCTAACTGTGATTTTTCACTTGCAGTTTCATTTAGATTTGTGGCATACCTTTGAGAAGTGCTCAGTGTGCACATTGTAAACAACTCCAGGAGCATTAACATTTGAGAAAAGACTGAAATGAACCCATTCATCGCACAACATATTTGTAGAGGTCTAAACTACAAGATACAACAAGATCTTTAAATATTTTTTGGTCTTTTTATTATCAGAATAATTGCTGCCTTTGCGATTTGATAATTGCACCAAATGAAATTGTGATTTCAATTCAAATGTGACATTTTATGGAGTCCAGCTAAATTTTTAGGCTAAGTTTAAGATCTTCTTGAACTCAATGAAAATACCCATCTTCACATGTCCATCTGCTTCTTCATTCATAAAATAGTCACTGCAAGCAAACCTCTTAAAAAATACCCTCCAGAGCAAGGACTTCACTCTCTAACCAGACACTGTATAATACAATAACACTTGTAGTAAGGACAGTGGTCGCAGTCATTGTGTAGGCTAGTGGACAACCACCCACATGGCTGTGACATACCCAGCTCTCCTCTCCCTCCTCCCCCCTGGTCCCCCTGGTCCCCCTTGAGATGCTCCCCCGGAAAACCCCCGTGCTTTTCTCTGGTGGCACTGACGCAGAACCGGGGTTGAGCTCCCACTGCTTCCGGCAACACTTCCTGTGCACAAGGGGGCTGTACCAAACAAAAACACCAAACTAAGCGCACCCCTGGCAGCCCGAAGAGGAGCGCCGTGGGGAAGGTCACCTGAACATTCACGGGTTACTGTGTGTGGTCAGGGTCTGTTCTGCCATGGAAAAAGTCACTCATAAAAGTCCAATGAAAGCACCTCTAAGAATATCTCTGCCCACACGTTCTGCCTAACACTGTGGGAGTGAAAAAATAGACCTGTGTTTATATGCACATATAGTGTACGAGGAGCGTGGTGATTCATTAGGATGCAACTGAAAAGCCAACATAGCAATGCATGTTTGTGCCTACTGCTCTTCTTTTCTCACTTCATGTTTTAAGAAAAATCACATAAAAGTCAAACCAGGTCAAACATATAGATATGGGTATGGTTTATGATAAAAACTTTCACTATTCTTCCTACTCTTCTAAGCATCTAATGTGTCTTTGTGGATAACATAACTGCCCCTGAAAACTTTTGATAAGAAGATGTAACTGTATTTGTTTTAGGGATGCACTAATTCATCTTTTACATTTCTGACACCAGTACCGATAGTTTGGCTTTAGGTATCTGCCGATTCCCAGTCATAACCGAAACCAGCGAAGGGACTAAAAATGGCAAAACACAGTTAACTTATTACAAACAACACAGTTAACTTATTTAAAATGGATCCAAATCTGTTAGATAACTGTTATTTGTCTTGCAAGTAACTACTGAACAGATTTGTATGAATAAAGAGACATTCTGGGCCAACATTAGCAAGTACATAGTTTTATTGCATTCAGTAAAGTCCCAACCAGGATATCAGCTGAAGCAACATCATGAAACCGATACTCGGTCCTGCTATTATTTTTATGTATTGGTACTAATTACTAATGCCAGTATCAATACATCCCTACTTTGTTTACCAAATCTTGCTTGGTAACGGCTAAGACTAAAGAATTACAACACAGTTACAATTCAATACTGACTTTTACTATCAACAATAACATGTGTTTTTACTGTATGTCCATGTGTTTTATTGTAAGTGTAAATGCAATTTCTAACTGTAATGTGTGGTATGTGTGCTACAATACCAACTTATGTACTTCAAATGGAGTTATATGTCCAAGTATTTAGTTTTTTCTATGTAAGGCTAAACCATAAAGGAAAACCACAAAATGATCTGCAATTTTAAGTGAAAACAGTAGCTAATATCGCCTTTCTTTGTGGCTAGGAAAGTTGTTTAAAATAAAGGAGAAATTACAAAGCATTTTTCTGGCTAAATTTACTTCAGACTTTTAAATGAGCTCTGGGTGGAAAACAGGACTAATAGGACTGTTTTTTTCTTCCTCCTCGCCTTATTTCCTGAAAGGTGCACTGCCCTGCCGCTGGCTCCAACAGCATTAGTGAGCACATACACAAATACTACTACTACACAATCACACACATACGCACACACACACGTACACATAACCACACAGAGAGACACACACATACGCACGCACACACAACCACACATACACACACATACGCACACACACAACCACACACATAGACACACACAGCGGTAGCCGGCCGTGACATTCCTGCAGCTGCGGCGCTCTCTCTCCCTCGCACGCGCCCCCCCAGCGATCTCCCCGCGGGACGAATGCCTAATGAGTCACGCGCCTGTCTGCCGTTACCTCGGAGCGTGTTTGTGTGTGTGTGTGTGTGTGTGTGTGTGTGTGTGTGTGTGTGTGTGTGTGTGTGTGTGTGTGTGTGTGTGTGTGGAGGCGGGATGGCGGCCCGACTTGGCGCGAGTGCTTGGGGAAAGAGGGAGGGAGAGGCGGAGGAGAAGAGGAGGAGGAGGGGAGGAGGCAGGGAAAAAGTATGTGTGTTACGGGGGGATGCGGTCATTACGGCAGGCTTAGAAGCAAGGCCAAAGCTAACCATTTGGAATACAAAATACATTACTGCTTAGCACATTAGCAAACATTTTAACAGGTGTACGTCTGAATGGTTCTTTAAAATCAGTTTATAAGACCAATGCATATTCAACTATTTATACATATACCAGTGATAAGGGCTGGCCAATTAATCAAATTTGAATCGAGCTCTAGATTCAGTCATGTTCTTAATGGAGAAGTCCACAACCAATCCAATAAAGAAGCACGTGGTTTGGAGCAGAGTTTACACTTTGGACAAATAATTTCATAGCTTTCTTTTTTAAATAGCACTGATAAGTCTTGTTAATGTTCATAAAAACAATACTGAAAGTTATTTTATTTTGTGTTTTTTGCCATATCACCCTAGCCAGGCTGGCGCCACCTAGTGCCTCCACTCAATTTCATTTTTTTCCAGTGGCTAGGTCAGAAATCAGAATACAATAGACGGTTCGCAAAGACCCCGGAAGTGCAAGTTTGGGCACAGGCCAATCAGCGAAGAGTGATATATTCAGTGTTGTCAAAGATTCCCCAGATTGAGGATTTAAAGCCGGAATAGAGAGAATGTTTAGTGAATTTCATTAAGGGGAAAGACGTTATTGCCCTTCTTCCTACGGGATTTGAGAAAAGCTTAATATACCATTTAGCCCCGTCAGCGGCGCATTACATACATCACAACCAAATAGCAGCGA